ATCCGGGCCCGAACGGAAGACTTCAGCGTTGAACACTGTTTATTAGTTAGTGACATCACTTGTTACTGTTACTAGCCGTGTGAAACACAACTCCAGTAACAGTACCAACCGCTAGTTACCAAATCTAAAATGCACTAGAAATCACTATTACTGGACTTGTACTGTTCCCTGGCGGAACACACCCACTATTACAATGTCATACAAATGGTCCTCACAATTCCTCTCGGATGATCGAAAACACCATACTAGGTGTCAATACCAGTGTCTGCGCATGCGGCGATGCAAACACTATAGACCTTTTTTTAAATTAATTAAAATCTAATCAATAATTACGTGTAAAAGAATGAAACCAAGGTATTTATTATCTACAAACGATTTGCTCCACATTGGTTAATATTGTTTCGGTCTACAAATCAAAATTAGTGGGGTGGGGTTCTAACTTCCGATCATTATTTTGTTTAATTAATTAAAAAATAATGAAGGGTCTACAAAATTTTTGAATTGTATTACAATGATGTACAAAGGTCCTACTATTGATCTAAATAAAAAAACTAATGAATTTTCAATTATGTGGTGCCAACTACCAGTCACCATCATATTCATATGAGCGTACGTCGCCATCTCGCGGTAGTACGGTGCAGGTACGATACCAGTACGGCCATACTCTGGAAAACACAACGGTACGCTCTGCTATCTGGGTAGTGATGTTTCACTTTTTTCTGCGTTCTCGCGGCACGTTGAGAGGGATGTGGTATTTGGTTTACGAAAGCCAAGTGTGGTAGTTGTCAGGGATACTTAACCCGTGTAGTGTTCGCTTTATACGAATTTTCGTGGCTGATTACACATTTATAATTTTTTCCTGCATTTTCTTGGGCATACTGATAAATCGTTTTTAAAAGAATACACAAATGACGACGGGGATCGATAAGGAAGAATTGCGGAAGCGGCTAACACCGTTGCAGTGGCACGTTACTCAGGAAAAAGGAACTGAAAGGTATGATCTCTTGCTGTCAATATTCCCATAAAAGATATCAACTGTAAATGATTATATCACTCGTTGCACCCCTAGAAATGGTATTTTAACGTTGATTTATGCACTGGTTTGGAGTGTGGCTAGGCTTCTCATTTTTGAGAAAATCAGGGTATGTTTTGTTATTGAAAGTTTTGATCTTGATTCCAGAGATGCCGAGCATTCCATCATAGTAGTTAAATATATATTCATGTTTTATTAGTCACTTTTTTTTGTTGAAGATTTCATTTTTTTGATTGTATAAAACATGCGTTTATATAAGTATAAGTATGGTTTTATCGGAGTATCGGAGAGCATGTGACGGTCATATTGAACAATTGTGGATAACAATTTGACATCCAGCCAGTAGAATTGGAGAATTTCGCGCGATTTACGAACAGCTTGCCCATCTTTTCAGGCAACTTTCGATAACGGTTCTCCGTGCAAAAATAACTCTTTCAAGAGCGTGTCTATGATTCCTGAATTCACGGCCAAAGTGGTTCAAAAATAAATAAGAATTGTTAGGGTTTCTGGTCGTACAGTATTACAATATACGATTAATGATCATTTTTACTATTTTTAGGCCATTCACAGGGGCTTATAATAAGTGCTATGAAAAAGGTACATACACTTGTGTTGTATGTGGCCAGGAATTGTTTTCTTCTGATACCAAATATGATAGCGGGTGTGGCTGGCCGGCATTCAATGAAGTATTGGATCAAGGTCGAATCAAACTAACCAAAGATGTTTCGCATGGTACGTAAAGATTTTCCACCTCCTTACGAGTGAATTTCTTTGAATTTTTATAACCGACCTATATGTTTGGTTTATTACGCTATACACTGGAGGTAAGCAGGTAAGACGCAGTCAATCAACCAAGATGTTTACTGATGTATGACTATTATATTTGAAGATTCTAAATTTTACATAAACAAATTTTGGAAACATTAACGTGGTTACCTGGTTACTTGTAAGATATTTCTGTTAATCTGATATTTAAAAATACATTCACCCTTGTGCCCTTTTAACTCCTTGTAAATTTAAAATGTACTGTGTTCTAAATTCTAAAAGCAGATTTATACTAGCATACGATAATATTCAAATAATATCAGGATCTTAGACGAGGATTGATTATTATTATTCACAGTTGTTATCATAATTACTTGACAAGAATAGAAAAATAGTACATAAAATTTTAATTTCCGAACTGCCCGCATGACTACGCTTAGAGTGTGATTGTAGTAGACTTACATCATTTTTAAAAATCAGAATCAAAACTGTCAGAAGTACATTTAATTTTGCATTTTTGTATAATTACACTTTATTCATTCTAATTGGCGCGGCTATCCTATTATTTCACAATTTTTTTTGAGAAAATTAATTGCTGTTAACCAATACATATGCTTGAAGGAAGTTAAGTGCCACTGTATAAAATTGGAAATCATTCGATTTAATAATGGAATGCAGAAAGAAAGAAACTTTATCGCAAAAATTTACACAACAAAATTCGAGTAGTTCAAAATGTCAACGAAAAAGAAAATAATAAGGAAACGGTGTGGGTCTCAATTTAATCACACTCTATTGTTCTGTCTTTCCTCTTGCCTTCCTCACCTATTCACCATCGAAATTGAAAAAAAACTGCGTCAATAAACGACGCGAAACAGTCGGTGGAAATCTACTATTGCTGATCGCAAACCCAGATATGATGCGGACGGAGGTGACCTGTTCAAAATGTGGAGCACACCTGGGCCATGTATTCAATGACGGACCAAAACCAACGAGGAAGAGGTTCTGTATCAATTCAGCATCCATAATTTTCTACGAAGCGGAAAAGGACAAGAAATCAAGCACATAAACCTATCAATTTTTTTGTAACGAAAAATTATAAATATGATGTATTTCTAACATGTTTCAAATTTCTCACAGTCATAATCTTCATTAAGTTCTTATTTAATTCATTTAATTGTAATTACTGAAACTCATACGAATGTCCAATAATAATGGTGAAGCAATTTCCAATGACACAATACAATTTCCATTGTATATCGAACGTTTAACATAATACACTATTAAATCTTTCGAGGCACTTCATACCGCCTATTGAATTAGAAAAATTGGTATATGATTGCCAGAATATGCATTCATGTAATGAATGACCTGAAAAAGTTGAAACAACTTCACTAAAGATAAACTTATTTTATTTTCGCATCAGCTGTGTAACGCGAGTTTAGATATGGTGTAAATAATAGAGATGTAATATAATATGCCCTTGTTAAATTTCTAACCATTACGTAGCAGTTGACATCTGAACGGGCCGCAACAAATATAGGAGAATCCCTGCAGAAATAGACCACAGAAAAAATAGGCCAATGTTATTTTTCCTATGGTCTATTTAAGTTGGGTGAGTTTAAACACGTTTTGGATGCGCGGACTATTTTTTCCTAATCTATTTCTTTTGCCTACCAATGTAGGAATACGATGGACATTTAATTTGTGGTACTACGACCACTTTTATAACTCTGTAAAAAATGTAGAATCCCCGAAGAAATAGATCAATGTTAATTTTCCTCTGGCCTATTAAATCGACTGTTTTAACACGTTATAGATGTGTCTGCTATTTTTGTCTTGGTCCATTTCTTCTGCCTACTCAAAATTTTAGGTACGCTTCGAATAGCATTAGTTGATTACATTTTTTTGAGAAGGTCATTTGCTGCGTCGATGAATAATAAGCAATACTGCATTGATAAGTCTGCATATTTACTCGTATCAATATCGGCCAAGTGGAGGTTTTAACGGTTTGATGTCACACGCCAATGCTGTCGCGTATAATATACACGACACAATCGCGTATAATATACACGACACAACTACTCCAAAAATGTGTTTGATTTTTCTCCTCGTACTACGAGAATTTTTCGCAAAATCAGGCCTTAGTTACATTATATAAGTTGTCTGTGAGCTTTATGAAGATATTTTTACTTTTTCGATTAAATCACTAAATAAAATTATCCTCCCATAGCAACCATCATAATGTCATATTTCCTGAATTTTATTTTCTCTCAGCGTTAGATTTGTTCGTCAAAGTTGGTAACGAATATAATGTGTGTCTTTCTCTCTGTTTCTACCTTTGTCCAAAGACTACAGGAGACATATTCATGCATATCAATAAGTTTCCGAATGAAAGTGTCGTAGCGGTGGCGCCTGACCCAATTCAGGCTTGGAGTATAGCATGGACCACCGAATTAAATAAATTAATTATTTGGACCCTGTTAATCGTTTACAGGTGACTTGCAGGGGAATGATAGATTACCCTTTATTCAATAATCATTGATTTTTACAGATTTTTTGAAAATAATTAAAATTTTTATCCGAAGATGAACCTCAGTTTTCTGTAATTGAATAAATTATTTATTTGGACCCTGTAAATCGGTTCCAGGTATTTTACAGGTCAATGATAGCTAAAAATTAGCGGTTAATCCATAATAAGTAGATGTTAACAATTTTTCAAGTTGAGGGCTTACTTCCGATAAAAATTTCAATTAATTTACAAAAATCATTAAAAATGAATTATTATGGATTCAACGGTAAGCAAGTTCTGGATGCAGCAAAGTTGACACGAATAGTTGACGATGAATTTAGTAGTGATACCGAACATGATCCGGTCCTATTTCTTGAAAAAGTTCACGTGACACGAGCCGAAGGCGAGTTTTACAATCCCACGAGTTAAAAAGTCCATAAGGCACGTGTTTCGTACACTATTTTATGTCATTGGGACCGTAATCCGCAATTCTACCGAGCGAAGCGAGTTACGCATCATTTTGCTCTTTCCACTTCTCACAATAAATAGGAGCATCCTTTAAATAATTGTAGGAATTACAATCAACTTAAATCCCTTAATAACATCTTAAGGGAATGAAATAAAAACAAAATAATTTTATAAACTATACGTTTTTTATAACAATTGGAAAAAAATCATCCTCCTTTTTGATACATGGAGAGCAGAACCATACCTTGGACGTTTTTTTGAACCTCAACGCAATTGGCGTGTGCATACCTCAAACATGACTGGTAAATTTTCCATTGACGTGATATTTGGGTATTAAGGATGTTAGGGCATTACAGTCCATTCTAGCTAATAAAAAATATAGTGCGTTTAAGCTGACATCGCGATTCCCCAGGCTAGAGAATTATCACTAGCAGTAACTCTCTTATTTTGACAACGTTGCAAGGAGCGTCCAATCATGGGCCCCTCAGCGTATACGGGTATATGTATGTGTGT